TTATGACGCGGGAACGCTCGAGGTGGAGGAACTAAGAGTACTCGCGAACTCGAGAAAGAGGCGGCCTAATGCTGGAGCATGGTGTTAGTGACAACGTAACATTGTCTTTATGATGTCATAACTACTTATTGTACGCGCACGTTTTTTTGGACCTCAGAGCCTACCCCCACTCCCTTACTAACAAAAGTTGAATTGAGGATAAATGTTAGCGACAAGCGTTGTTGACAAAATCTAATTACGAGAAATGATGGCTCGCTCATAAAATAAATGAGTTTCAAATGCAAACGATCTAGAGATTTGATATAATATTCCTGTCATCTAAGTAAACAACTCCCACTCCTCTCGCATGTAGCGAAATGACTGCTTAAGGAAATGAACGCGAACCATCAAATATTCTCCTTTTATGTACTAACATCCTCTTTGGTTATTATATACGCGTATTGATTAACTAAATTCATTGGTTTTGATTTCCTGATCACTGGTTCACGTTCTTAAAGCCTATCATTGTTAACTTCTTTCTGAATACTTGTAATACCAGGCACGATTTAAATCATAATTTCAATGGTTACTGTTCATTTCACTTTTCTTTGCTGCGAATCCATTTCAGCCCTCTCGCTTTCATGTACTCAAATTAACAAAGAAAATTTTCGGAATGTCAATCGCTACTACAATTCATTGGTAAGCCCAACGCCAGATACTGAGAGAACATATTTTGACAAAGCTGGGCACAAAAGAAATGAAGTATGAAAGGAATTTTCAACACATTAAACTATTTTTAAAACAGCTTATAGTGTCGGAGATGCCACATTTTGCTAGTATTAGAGATACTTGTGTATGCCTTAATGTTTTCATTTATTTTCATCAATAACTCTAATTTTGTGACTTTTCCATCTGCGCAGATCAGTACTATTCGTATATAAACCGTCTAAGGTGACTCATGGCATCAAGTGATATCACTGAAGTGCCTCTGCTTTTGGGGGTGAGCGAGACCTAGGGTTCGAGCCCTGGCTGCTCTGATCGGCAGTTTTCCGTCGTTTCTATTATTATTACCTGGCAAATCCCAAAGATCTTGTACAAACAGGCCAAGGACCGCGCGCGATGTCTCCTTCCTATTCTTGTTTCATCCACACGCCTTACACACACACACACACAAGCCCTACACTACCACACATGCCAGGAGACTTTAAGCTTGCTACGGCGGGGGCGGTGCCCCGCTGGTTTAAGATAAGAGGTTGAGTCAAACCCCGCAACCCGACGTGTAGCTCAGCGTTAGATCTCTATCCAGTGGGGAAGAACACAGCCACTTCCGTAACTACAGCACTTGTCACGCCTGTAAATAAAAAGTAATTAATCGATCAATCCAGAAATATAATCTATAGCTTAACAACCACCACAGACGCGGAAAAAATGTATTCTGCATACATCGGTTCAGACGCGTCGCACTTTTTTGACGAATATCTGATATCTGCACCTCGGCAAAGGAACGGCTCTGACTAGCAGCGTGCGCCACCACGCTCGCCTTTTGTTTCGAGGCACTGGGTGCGCGGGCCTGCACGACGTCGGCGATTATAAATTAATCACGTGATGCGACGAGATCTTCCAACATGTGTCTCCTCCGCGTCCGTCCCCCCTCACCCCGGCCGGCTCGCTTAATAATGCAGGGCGTCCCCGGGCGGGGCCGTCGTGCGGGGCTGGCGAGCCGGTTCCTTAAATCATTGTTCCGGCTCCCGGCTGCACGGCGCACGCGCAGCCGCGCCGGCGACAGCGACAGCGACGCGCGCTAGGCCCGCAACGGCCGCTCGCCAGGGACGAACGGACACTCTACTGCTAGCCCTTTCGAATACTATTAGAAACAAATTTCCCGATTGAATACTAGTAAATGGGCATTAAATTGATCAATTATTTCTCAATAGTTAAGTAAATTGTTAACTCAATTGCATAATATTGTTCATACATTTTAGACCCTGCCGCAGCGTGGCGCATGGGAAGCTAGGTTTCCATGCTGCGACCCCCGGTTTGATTCCCTGTCGGAGTCAAAAGTAGAAATGTAGCCTTCTTCTAAAGACGTCTCAATTTCTGTAGCTGTGTGGCGAAGTAAAACACAGACACGCAATGGGTGCTGTGTTTTACTTCTCTTACCCCCCAAGCGTGGGAAATAAACCTGGTTCAGGCAAAGGGGACACCGTTAGGATACCGGTCTTGTCGGACAATCGGCCTAAAATGCCGAATACATACATACATTTTAGACACTGAGAAGGCAAAGTGATAAATGAAGTTCCTGAAAGTCTGATGTCGACCAAGAAGTTATGTATAAAAAAAGGCTTAACTACATTCTAAAGAAAAATGTTCATATTATTCCTGGTAATAAGAGAAGTTATGAAAGTAATAATGTTTAATGGAAAATATGTTCAATTCATTATTTTTAAGTTACATCATAACGTCTGATCTTCAAACTCCATTCTCGTTGAAGGAATGATGACGCAGTGATGTAATAAAGGTCGCCTAATCAATTGAGAGATTGATTACATTATTAACATATTTTATAGGAGTACTGATATTCCTCCTGCCACGAATAAAGTTTAAAAGAAATTAAACAATTACAATGAACAACCGACATCATTATTTCCACATCTTTGACCTTAGCAGCGAGTCCCGAAAATGAAAATTTGCGATTTCAAGTCCTAAAATAAACTGCAAACTCGTTTACAATAAGTTCAGATATCTCTCGAAAAAGTTTAGTGTTCTACCAGCCGTGAAGGGGTGCTCATGGAAGTATTAATGTTAACCATTGATTAACTGTGCTCTAACTTGGAAACCTGTTGACCGCCTCTGTCAACTGGTAGAACACCAAATTTCCTTTCTAACGCACATCTGTTGTAAAGCGGCATGATAGTTTATGTGTCCTTTAACTGAAAAATGTATTATACGAACTACGAGTAAGACTGTGCCATTCTGTAGCCCCACAAGTTATTTGTTGGTTTCGTTTCTCAATTGTTCAATACAATCTCTCTCAGCTTCTATTCGGCTACCCGGGTACACATAGCAAACGTTCCTTGAATCGCAACAAAAATTGATATTGCAGAGAGGCACAGCGGCCTTTGTGCAGAAAAGGCTTGGAGGAGAGACAGGTAAAGGAAATACATGGCGCTGGCGATGCCCAGAATCCAGTTCATAGGGCAGGTCTGGCTTAAAAGTAGGGGTATCGGTACAGAAAAAAATTGCTCAAGTAAAATCAAAATTTGTAAAACGACCTCAGGATTTTCGATTTACCATAATGACATGTGATATTTGAAAAAACGTTTTATTACAATCTTCTTACATCTCTACAGTTTATGTACACCGATATATGGATATGCTTATAGAACGTACCCAATTAAAAACAAAATCGTTCGGATTGTTTTGGCACATCTATTGTATTAATACCCCTATAGTATTAATACTCCTACAGTGCAAAAATCTCCAGCGACTCAATGCCAAAAACGCTTGATGTATATTTCTCCCTTTTGAAAATTTTTAAATGCACTAGTTTGTCGTAATTTAAGCTCTCGTCGGTGCCAGTTTCGATTCGGTACTCTTCTATATCGTCTCTGTTTATTCAGTTGGTCTTTTCATCCTGAAAGGCAGACACATTTTGCCTTCAAAAATTCACTCCGGTGTGGGTAGTCTCCTCAATCAAACCTTAAATAACCGTGAGGATACTGTTCACCTGGTTCATTAGATATTACCTACAATCCTCTTGCCTTGAATTGTATTTGATATTCAGAATTTTAAAAGAATGGAACTGCATAAGAGATTTAATTGACATCAAGGTATTATGACGATCGCTGAAAATCTTATGAAATATTGACAGCTCAGAAATACGAGCACTACATCCGTGACTCAGGGATATTTTCACGAAACCTCATCGAGGCGAGAACATGAAGAGAATATAATAATAGGAAGTACGGCAGGAGCAGTTTCCTGTAATAAGAAATATGCACCACTTCAACGTTTTTCGTTAACGTAACATGAAGTGTCGTACAACTTTGATTTATTGAATAAACATTAGATAATTGTGAATAATTCGTGCACTTTTAATGAAGCGTGAGTAGGTGAAAATGTTATGTGTGCGGTATTGAATGAAAAATAGTATTAAGAGCACTGATAATGTTGCTTTCCCGAACGCCCTATTGTAAATAAAAATAGATCTCTCTTGTGTTTCAATAATCTTGCGTATACGAATCTGATATTCGAGGTGTAATTTAATGCTTCTCCGGCACGCCGGGATTAGCACCAACCTACTGGTCGGAGTACTTAGGGAAATACTTTCTGCTTCATCCGTGAAGTTCGTGCTGGGGATTAGTTTGGAATGCGTGAGTGAATGGAATTGTGAATTAGTATGGAATGCGCTTGTTGATGGCATTAGAACGGTATTAATTATGTGAAACTCAACCACTCACGTAGAACACCATTTGATTTTAATGCGAGAATATATCACCATACTTTTTTGGGTTAGGTTTTATATTAGAATTAACTATGGGTGTCTTCGCAACTTATAGTTCGTGTCTGGAAGTACGAGTTAATTTCCACAACTCTTCTATTTGGTTCTACCTTGGAGCGATAAGGAGTCGAGAACCGCATCGGTTGAATGGCTTTTGCTGAATGTCTATGTGCAGGAAAGATCTATAAGATGTATTTTGATTTTTCCGAAACTCATTTTCATTTATCGTAGCATTAATACACAAGTACGTATTGCCAAATACAAAAGTATTGTTCTTCATTGCATGAGAAACTTCCAGAGAAGTCATTGCTGCCATCAGTTCCAATTTAAGTATACTGTCTTCATATTATTCATATTATGTTGCTAGACAATAATCTTAGTTCAAGTCAATTTATGTCATCAGACCACCAGGGCAATTCGTAATTCGACAACGAAAATAAAAAAACTCAATTGTATTGAACGATAATAACATAGCGAACTTTTTATTTCATATCAGGCCATAGAGCGGTGTATTTATTCATTAAGTCTAATTAAAGGAAAAGTTCTGGTAAAAGTACGTCGTTTGCATAACTTTCGTCGAATAAAATGACTCCGCGGTGTGAATACATCGATTTGGATGGGTGATAACGGAATGATTCGAACGTGAGAATTATTATTGATTGAATTTATGAATTATTGATAACTGTGTCCATTGTTGAAATCACGAATAACACGCCTAATAAACTTTTGCCGCGGATATATTTAACGTACTTCTAAAAAGAAATTTACTTTGTACAGATTCTTTCAAATATAATGCTGTAGACAGATAACTTAAAATTTTAATTTTAATTCTAAGACAACCCGTTTCTATTGACTAAGTAATCTATAATTTATTCCTCCTGAAAATATGACAAGCTTCAAAATGAAATAAAAAATTAAACAATATTCTTAAACAAATATTGTTTGAAATAATTCTTTACTAATAAAATCCAAGTAGTTTGGGGAGTACACAATATACATGAATGATTTTCTAAATTAATGCTAGCACAAACTGACAAATTGACTATAGAAAATAGGATGCAAACCAATCATGAAGAAGAAAGATGTCTGACAGTGGAAATATGAATGAGATTTTCTACAGCAACGCAAGGCACCTGCCGTTGGCGCAGGCCCTTTGAAGTCTGTGGGAGTCGCTGGTTGCAGCTGCGCGGGCCGCATGCGAGACTTCGCGCGCCGTTGCTTCCTCCCCGGCCGAGATGCCCACTTGGCTTTTATAGGGGGAGTAAATTTTGAAGCGGGCTCCCACCGACGGCTAGGCGACTGGGTGGCCTTCAAAGCGGCGTAAATCATAGAGGAGACAATAAGCAGCCGAATGGGGGTCATTTTTGTTTATGCGACAACGCACGGGTCGGACTCGGGGTTTCTGCCGTGGGTGGCTTGCTGAGATGCTGGGAGTTCTGTGCTCGTTTGAGAGAAGCGTTTGACGAAGAAGGGGCAAGACTTAAGTCTCGTTTTAGTTTGATTACTTTTATAAAGTAACGAGTACAATCGGGAAGGAAATGTCCGACTTTCAATTTTGATGCGTTTGTTTTTCACCTAAGCACAATTTTTTGGAATGTTTTCTTTCTCTAGGATATAGTTTTCTGAATATTATTTCGAATTTTACTGGTCTCCCTTCCTCTGGCAAATGTCGGTTATGTAAAACAACATTTTCTATGTACTTCTTTATTTATTCTAGAATTGATATTTCATACAATTCGACCAAGTGTCTTTCACAGAAGACAACCCTTCCCAAAATACTGGTTGAGTTGTAGCTTCTAAAATCCGTTGTATGTTTCTGACTTTATTTGCCTCTAGTACTAAAGTTATAAAGAGTGAAAAAAACTACTCTTTGGTCTCTAAATAATCTGGGAAATGTTGGTCTGTTAAATATGTGAAGTAGTAAACTTTTGTGCTAAAATGTCGAGAAACAAAGATAACAAAATAAAGTTCCCAACTGAAGCAACCTCTTCGAAAATCAGTCGCTCTAAAACGTATCGCCATCGAGATAGAAATCTAGAGCCAACAGCAACCTTCGAACAAATCCTATCAACAAACTTTAATATTTTTGAGCAAGTTAAACGTTTTTTTCGTTCCGCTTTTAAACATCCAATCACTCACCACTTTTCACGTTTTGTCGAAGTCAACACGGCTGCCCCGTGCCGTTCATATTCCATCTTTGGCCGGTCAGCCCCGCTGCCGAAAATGTGCAGCCCGCCCTCGCATCCACTCAAACGCCCTCCGTGCCCCGCCCCCGCGCCTCCGCTGGCATTCAGGCCTTCCGCCGCCCGATAATCCATCACTGCGCCGATGGAGCTATTTTCGCGCTCGTTTCGGCATCCGCCGTGACGCGGACCCGTTCCCCGGACCCGTTCCCCCCGGACCCGTTCCCCCCGGACCCGGTCCGTCGGCTGCCCCGCACTGCGCACGCGACTGGCCGTCAGCGGGGGCCCGGCGGTGTCGCCCAGTGGCTGGAGCTGTGGGTCTGAAGGGTCGGAGGTTTGAGAGACATCAACTTTGTTTATTATTCGTCGAGTTGAAAGCAGCCTGGAATTTGTTTTTATTACAAACAAGTAACATGCATTGACAATTGAATATGAATTCATGGGGAATCAGCAAGAGTCTTATTTACATTGTATAAAAAATATTTAATATAGTCCTTCTGAAAATTAATTTCATAATAATCATAAAGTTTTTTGTTTTTTGTTTATTATTTGTTTGTTTTTTTGTTTTGTTTTTGGGAGTGGACCCTGCAACAAATAACTCAACATTTTATTTCGTTTCTAATTCGACAAAAGGGTAGAAATACAGAGACATCTTCAGTACACAAACTTAAAAATTTCACAACTGTGTCTCCCGACTTCTGGCACAAGCACATGGATAATACGAAGGCTAATATTATTGATACAGTTTCTGACATGAATAACCATAGCATTTCGTTTGAGTGATAATTTTCTAAACAAATTGCGTTAATCATCAGCGTGTGGCCTCGTAGAAATCCTCGTCCATTCACTGTGGTGCAACGGGTCCAGGGGGGAGCGGTGGTATCCGAGTGAAGGATCGAGGCTGGAAGGAGCCGGCGGAGATTTAAAACGCGGCGGCGGAGGAGAGAAATGGGCCGAAATGCGCGCCGCGTTGGATCATATTCCACGGCGCACGGTGGCTTTCGACAATGGATGTTCGAGCTCCATTGAATGGGTGATGTGGGCGCGGGCGGGACGGGGCGGGGCGCGCTGGCCACTCGTGGGCGGCAGCTTCCTGCTTCTTTGCGATGGAGGTCATCTTTCGGGGCGCCCTATGCATTCTGTGCTTCCCACCCGAAGGCAATCGGTTCCAATGATTTGCGCCGATGAGTTGCCCTCGTGGTATTCTATGCTTTGTAGACGTGGTACTTCTGTATTGTTGGCGTGTATATCTCTATTATCCCTACTTATCTGGATTCGAACACTTCCGCGGCCGAAGTCATTTGCTACTTGGCTGATCGGGACAAGGTGACAGTCTGTAACGCGACTCATCCCCGACAGCCAAGTATCAAATCCCTACTTATCTGCTTCTTTTACCTTCGGTCTTCATTCCGATTGTATTGCATTTCTAGGTCGCCCTACATGTGCTATGTTTCTACTTACACACGTGTATACCTTCTGTTGGATATGTTGTTATTTCAGCAATGTGCTGTGTACTTTTTGTTTCCAGCTATTGGGATTTTTTCAACACACTACAACTTCTAGAGTGCTCCGCGATTGTGCTGAATGTTGATTTTGCGACATCTTTTCAATTCACCCGTATTTTCTGCTTCCAATTTTTCAGACATTCTTCGATAGACTTGTACTTTTACACTCTTCGAATTTATATTAAAAAGGATACAATAAACCAATTGCAAAGGTCCTACTTTGCTACAGGAAAACGAAGGAGAGTGGGTGCCTTTCTCACAGAAGGAATACAGAGTTAGATGGAAAGGTAGCACATATGTGCGACGCCAAATACTGAACCTTCATATGGAATAAATATGTTTGCTTTTTACTGTTAAATTATTTCAATAGACCTTTCAAACTTCAGCGGTGAATTTGATGGATTTAAAATACTTTACAAATACAGATGATTGACGTTAACGGCTCACATCTGAAATAATATTTAGAAGGAGCTGAAAATACAACCATTAAAAATGGCGATAAATGCCACTAAACTATTTATACACTCTCTATTTATCTGTCAATATATAGACTGATACACAATTTATTGGAATAAAATAATTTGGAAGGCCGTGTCTTGCATACTACTAACACGTACTTGTGTACATAGTTTTCTTCTAATAAAATCAACTCATGTTCTCAAAACAAATTTCTTTACCATTGAGTCACGTGTTAGTTCAAGGGAGAGTTATTTCTCGAAATAACAGAGTTCCTTCGTTGTACACACGGTTTCCTATTCAGAGCTCTCGTGTCAGCAGTACTTCCCTATCAATCGAAATCGCTCTTTTGTTATGATCGTTTGGACTTTCGTGCAAACACTTCGTCAATAGTTGATAGTTCTGTGTATTGTCTTCGGGTACAAATCAAGAATCACGCAAAGGCTGGCTTGCCTTGTATTCTTTCCTATATCAAATCAATTTTCCAAACCACACCTTTCTATAAATATGAGTACATATTTCCAATTTATTTTGTTTTAAATTAAAGTTTTTAAAATAGTATCTCTAGTTGGTCGCCCACACTGAATTACTTTTAAACTTCTCAAACATAATCTTTCATGCTGTCGTGTTTGGCCACTCTGCTTTCTCTTGAATGTGTTTGCATTCTTCAAATTGTTGTATTTCCATATGATTCTGTATTTTCTGTGAACTTTGTATTCGTTACCACCGTTCTAGCATTTTTTCCAGAAGATTGCGCCAGCCTGGCTTTTGAGATTTATTGAAATATATTGACTGACCTTCATTTTACACTGCATTACACCAGATATTTTTATGTGACCAATATAATTTAAGTAAGACACAAATATATTAATATGATTTAAATAGCATTAGAGGGGCATTGAATCTCATTCTTCAACAAAAACTTACGACTGTTTCTCAGTCTAAAATATTTTCATATCGCGTTTCAGTTGCTTGTCTCCTTTTGCAGACGCTGGCGCTCTGGGCGCATGCGCAGAACACGACCGTGACGTCATCGGAAGAGGAGGAAGAGGATGTTTCCAACCTGGAGGAGCTGGAGTTTGAACTTGAACAGGTAAAGCGCGTTGAATCCTTTTATATTATACGGCAATAGGTGGGGTATGGCATTAATACAAAGAAATCTTGTTTAAATTCTTTGGGATCTTTTCGAAGAAAGATCAAACCATTCCCAAGTTCCAATGCCTTTCTTATCATATAAATATTGAAAAAGAATGTATGTTTCAACTAGAAACGTAACGAATGCAATTTTAACTGCGTAGTATTTTGTAAATTTGCATAATTATATTTGAAATATTCAATTTTGAAATCAGAAACATTAAAATTTTCCTCAAATGTTGGTTCTGAAAAAGAAGATATGTTATAATGTTACGCACACACCTAATTAGAATCGGTTAATAATCTATTTCAGCAATAATGACTACATATTAGAGTTTGTTTTTCAACTTATTAAAGTATATACTTCCATTACATCATTATGTATTCTAACCTCCCCGCGCATAAGTATGATAATTGCTAAGTAGTAAGCGCTTGCCCTGAATTCATAATATTCCGTGTTCTTCAACAACCAACCGTCTGATCAGAGTCACGTGGATTGTTTTCTCACGGCGGTGGGTTGATTGCAGCGCACTCGTCGGCGTTGGACCGAAACAATGTCAGCCTTTCGAGCTTACGACAACAATCGCTCATTAGCTGCTGTTTTTCTCGCTGTTGGCGACAGCGGCAGACGCCTCCATTAGCTTCTGGAGATCTCTATCTGCAGCGCCACCATCGCTCGCGAAGTGCGTTTTGTGTTTGCCGACTGCGATCGTCTCTCAGATAGGGCCAGGTCAATAAAATGGCGCCGACAATGTCAACCCCAATGAGGATGTTTGAGGATATGATTTGCTTTTTTAGGAGTCTGGAAATCTAGAAAGAGGGTGATAAATTGGTGTTATTATGAATACTTGTTGATAAACAAGGCCAGAAAAAGCTAAACTGAAATGAAAATATACCCGTACCGGTGCCTAAAGATGCTAGGTTGACAAAAAATCATTTGATATAGTGGTTTATTATTTATCTGCACTTTTGTAAGAACAGGTATTGTTGGTATCGAGTGAAAAATATAATATAAAACCCAGTTCAAATTTGTACATAGTGAGCGAGCGAAAGACAGAGAGAGAGCGTCAGACAGAAAGTGAGCGAGCGGAAGAGACACACACACACACACAGACGAATGAGCGAACAAGAGTGTGTGTGTGTGTGTGTGAGAGAGAGAGAGAGAGAGAGAGAGAGAGAGAGAGAGAGAGAGAGAGAGAGAGAAGCAAGCCTTTCATTATTTAATAATTACACTTTCTAATCGTTTAATTTGAAAATCAACCAGCACTACCGGAACGTGCCATTGACTCCAAATGTTGTTGGCATTAAAAATTTGAAGTTAATAATATAAAATTAATCAAAATCTTTAACTCTCTACGAGCCAAATAAACTCTTTACAGTCCCCAGAAACTGATTTTTTTCACATGGGAACGTGATGAACTTGGTTTCGAAGACACGCAGTTCCGGAATCCTATTCTTCAATCTTCAGACGTGCGATGAAGCAATTTAGCAGGAAGGAGGCGGCAGGGTAACGTTAATCATGCAGGCCAAAACACCACTTCAAACAATACTTCCACAAAGTTTACCTAACATTCTTATAATTTATTGCAAACCGTAATGCGTTTACATAGTTCATTTAAATTCATTTATCTGCTACTCGTAACATTGAATAAACTTGTAATATCAAATAGATTTGCAGAAACTAATTGACAAAGATTTAAAATAGTTTGGACTGACAATCTCCTTTCCTTGAAAGGGCCTCCAAAACATGATACAGAATTTATACGTTTAAACATGTTTATATTTTTCTTAAAGAATCACAAACATTACATATTTCTAGGGTAATTCAAATTAAAAAATTGAACAGCATTTTTTTCTTGGAATAAAATCTCCCTCACTTTCTCATGTTCGCTCTCCTTGCTCTTGCTAAATGTTCACTCTTAAAAAGATTACCACAGATGCGCGCTTATTCTCTATGGTTAGTCAAAACATGCTGGCAGTGAAACTGTACTTCCAGTGGCTTGTTCTAAAATTAACTTCATGCACTGCCAATGTGAAATAGTATATACTTACGTTGTGCACGACAAATGTATATGACGTTTAGAATTCACTCTATACTGGAGGTTTAAATATCAACATTCTCAAAGTAAATTTGAACATATTAACAAATAATTAGTGAAAAATCATGTGTAATGTGTAAAAACTAATTGACTGTTGCTTTTGTTGTTGTTGTTTTTTGAAACTTTCGTTGTTATCTGAAAACCCGCCCAAAACCGCGTATGTTTTGATGCATTTCCGCCCATTTTGCGGTATTCCGCGAAATCAGTTCTTGTCCCGCGAGAGAGAGAGAGAGAGAGAGAGAGAGAGAGAGAGAGAGAGAGAGCAGTTTTGCAGCCCCAAAAGCGGAATTCCGCCCACTCTGGCGCTGTTGCGCACTGCGCATGCGCGTATAGACCCTAAGCGCTGCTCCCTAGGAAAGCAGCCCGTTCACTTACCCCCAGGAAGGGAGTTGGCAGAGCTTTTCTGCCCCAATGCGAGTTCATAGCGCACTCTCGTAGCTCATTGTAGAAGTCCAAAGGGCCCTTTCCGGGCAAAGTGGCAAACTTAACATGGAAATTACAACTTCTTGTTCCATGAAACACGTAACTCGTGTGAAAAAGTAGTAATAAAGCCAAATTCAGAGACTATAACAAAATGAATTTATCATGAAACCTTGTGTTTTATTGACATTATACATGTACTGCAATAACTTGCGATTTCAATAATCAATTCTTTTGTATTGTATTTTAAGAGTAACTCGAGAAAAACGCGAGAAAAAGTGTATTCTCCCGACAAAGCCGATATCTTACAAATATTTGCTTCAGGCACATCTCATTTTTGGCAACGAGCTTGCATCATTCCGCCCAACTGACACAACCTCTGCCTACTCCATCCCCCTTTGCAGTACACTCTTGCCCCTTCACCTGGTTGGCACCCCTATGCTCTTGCGAGCGCCTGCCTCCGCCCTCGCGCGTGAAATATTAAGCC